TGCGTTTCAAGAAATCCTTAAGAACCTTGACACCATAATTGCCCAGATGATCAACCAAGCCAGGTTCAATTCCCTTAGTGCCACCCAGTGCCGGTCTGACGTCTTTAGTACGATCAGGCAAATCTGTGGATCAAATAGGTCCATCTCTGACCTCCGCTATGGCAACACCATAGCGTATGATGACCTTGATAAAGCCAACGTCTTACGGTTGGCCTAGGCGAGCGCCACTTTACGTCCACTACGAATTCTGTAGTGCATGGGCTTTTTAATGCTTTCAATGAAAGCACTGTTATTTTCTCCCCGCAGTTTCCCGCTCACTGCATCAATGTTGAAGACACTCAAGGGTTTCTCACCCCTTTTGATCTTATTGACATGCTTCGTCTTAAAGCCCCTAAAAAGTCATCTGGCACTGACTGTGTGTCTTTCTACGCCATGAGGCGTTTCTCACCACTCTTTTTTAAAAAGTGCGCCATGTTCTTCCACCATGCGTACAACACTGGTTCCTTCCCCCAGCCATGGAGGAAGGCCATAGTATGTCCCATTGCCAAGAGTGGCAAACCTAAAGCTGACCTATCGTCCCATTTCTCTCCTCAACTCTGTCAGTAAGCTTTATGGGACTTTCATAGCAAGCAAGCTGAAGTCTTTCTCCTCAAGGAATAATATTATTCCTTCTTATCAGTTTGGCTTTAGGAGCCAAACCTCCACTCTTCATGCCCTGCATCATCTCCAAAATGAGATATGCACAGGTTTTTTTCAATAAGCAGCCCACTGTAGCACTAAGTGTTGACATTGAAAAAGCCTTTGATATTGTCTGGTTTGAAGGTTTAGTTTTAAAGCTTCATCAGTTCGGCTTTTCCTCTACGCTCTGCAGTGTGGTCCACAAATTTTTGTCCAACAGAACCATTCAGGTTCGAGTCGGTTCCTCTCTGTCCTGTGATTTCCCCATCGACGCCGGTGTCCCTAAAGGCTCGGTTCTAGGACCTCTCCTTTTTAACCTGTTTATAGCAGACATTCCTCTCCAGCGGGCCCCTGTTAAGCAAATCTGCTTCGCAGATGACTGCCTTGTTTTCATGCGGTCATCTAATCCTCACCGCCTTTCCAATGAGCTTAATGTCCACCTTGGATCCCTCTTCGACTATTACACCAGGTGGAAGATTAAACTCAACCCCTCTAAGATCTCTGCCATTACCTTTCTTGGCCAGCAGCGTGATCGTCCTAGAGGTTTTAGCACCTCTAATATTAAGCTTAAGCTTAACAACACTCCAATTCAGCTTGTCCCCAAGCTGAAATATCTTGGTATTGTCTTCTCATCTCAACACAATTTTATATCACATGTTGACTATGCCATCCGTAACGCCTGGTTCAGGCACACTCAATTCAAAACTGCACTTCGAAGACACAACGAACTTAACTGCAAAGTTAAGTTAATCTGCTATAAGCAGCTTATTCGTCCTCTCCTCCCTTATGCCTTCCCTATTTGGTCTGCCATCACTTCTGCTCAGATGGAAAGAATCCGCCTGTTTGAGCGGAAACTTCTCCGTGATTGCACCAACTATAAGCGCAAGCCTAATGGCAAGCACTTCTCCATCTCCACTCTGTATGCCAATGCCAAGATCACTCGTATTGATTAGTACCTTTTGGCACTCGCCCGTAGGTATCTCACCTGGCTCCACGACCTCCCTGCTGATGTCTCTTGTCCAGATACCCTCCCAGTAGACTTTGTTCTAGCTTTACGTTTTAAACCTCCACAGTATCTTCTCCACTATTTTGATGAGCTGGATCAAAATTTTCTCGCTATTCCTCTTTTTAACCGCGGCTTTCGTGACCCTGGTCACAAAGTATATCACTAGTCTCACACCCGCTAACTAGCCGTAAACCCATCACCTTCATTATTATCCTTTCTTCTTGCTTTCTGACTTAGATGAACCTAGTTCACTAGGTATTAAGTCTATCTATTTTCTCTCTCCCCTGATTACTGGAATGAAGTTCCCACATTGCTGTGGGAAAGATTCCTAAGAGGTGGTTTTAGTGGGTTCAAGTCTTACACTGTTCAAGTACTGATGCTTTCCACCTACTGCAAAAAAAAAAAAACATTTTGGCAAGCACATCATCACAGGTGGCTGAAGCAATAGTCACATCGGAAAAAATTAGGTATTCAATCAACAGGTTCTCTCCTTATAAGTTGTCAGGTTTAGACAGTATCTTTCCCATTAAGTTGCAAAAACTGCAAGTCTTAGTGGTTCCATGGTTAGGGATAATATACAAAGCGTGTCTAAAATACAGTTATATACCACTTAGTTGGAGGCAGGTTAAAGTCGTCTTCGATCATGAGTCCTCCAAAAATTACAGGCTAACTTTATTCTTACTTAAAACAATGGAAAGGCTCATACAGCTTTACTTATGACTAATGGTGGAACGTTTTCCAATCTCAAAATACCAGCACGCTTACCTCAAGGATAGATCTACAGAACAGCTCTACATAAGGTCATTCGAACTGTGGAAAAATCGGTTCATATTAAAACCACACCGCTACTGTGGCTGCTGGTCGTGGATAATATTCTCAATATATTAGATAAGATTAGTGTGAAATCAGTAGCGTACGTGGACGACGTGGTTATTCTAGTGTCGGGTATTTTCCCTAACATAATAAGCGATATTATGGAAAGTGCCTTGGTTAAGATAAGTGCCTGGGCCACAGACAGTGGACTAGGTATTAACCCAGGAAAAACTGAAATGATGCTGTTTACCACCAAAACCAAGATACCGGCTTTCAGGTTGCCTTCACTAAAGGGCAATAGTTAAAACTATCGCAAAAAGCCAAATATCTAGGAATATTGTTGGATAGTAAGCTAAACTAGAAACACAATGTCGATCTTCGTATCAAGAGGGCATGTATAGATTTTTATTCTTGCAAAAGGATGTTTGGTAAAAAATGGGGGAATCGTCCCGATCGTTTGCAACAGCGGTGTTATGACACCGCTGTGACAAATGTAGTGTGGTTATCTTTATTGATCCTTGAATCTTTCACTACAAAATCGAAGATAGTGAAAGAATGTAGAGAGGTAATCGACAATCTAAATCAGTTGGCTGCCATCACTCTCATCTGAGTTCCTGACAGTGACGATTGCTCTAAGGTGCGGAGGTGTGCGGTGAACACCCAAACATAATTTGCAAAATGTCAAATAACATAGGTATATAAATTTATTAGGTATCTTCACATCAAGAATTATTATTAATTATTACATTTCCATATACATATATATTCTAAAAGTTTTAGCAAAAACAATTAAATATAATTGTCTATGAAAACTCAATCAATTTGCTTCTGTTAACTGCTATACTTGTTAGGTGTGCTTATATATTTGCAGCTCAAATCACAGAACATTTCTATTTTATTTCGTCTCTCCCCTTTGTGTGCAAAGAAGTTGGCCGCACATTCATACGTTGCATATAAACAAAATAATGTGCGTGTGCTCCCGTTTGTAATATCAGAGATAGAGATTTATATAGTGGGAATTGTATGAGAGTAATTTTCTGTTCTATTCGAATATCAACTGTATGCATACGAATCCAACATGATGATTTGCCAAAGTGATTGCATGAGCGGCTGAAGTTTGCAGCTCATCTCACCATACATTTCTATCACATTTCGTCTCTCCCCTTTTAACAGTAGCACCCACGAATTTCTGTTCTTACTGTGCGGAGTACTTGTGCGCACATTTGTACGTTGCAAGTGGGTTTGATTTTGTTTGATCACTGGATAAACATGTATGGTTCTGAGTTAAAACTCTTTTGTTTGAAAAAAGTTGGTTTGATGTTACAAGTATATGAAAAGTTTTGTTTCTTCCATATTGATATAATATTAAACTTATATATAAATTATTAATTTAATTTGTTTAATATGTTATTTTGTTAATGAATATTTAATATAATATTGCGAATATATTGTTGCCTAATATAATATGGTTATTATTAATAAAACATCTCATATATTTTAATTTAAGTGGTACATGTAAAAAAAACATTAAAGAAGAGCCGCACACCCTTGCAGATAGGGCACGCGTCGTCACTGGTTCCTGATCATAGGAACATCGAAGAGAACGAGAAAGCTGACAGTTTAGCCCGCTCTAATGTTTCCCTGTCCTTGGCGGTACCGATGTATATTACTCTAGAGGTCATTAAGAGTAGTACTCTCTACTTTATGCAACTTGCCAATAACAAATGGAAACCACTTAGGTCATGTGCGACTTCCGGGTTAACATGGCCCACCTATAATAAAAATCAATCTTCGGAACTCATCAAAAAAGACGGAGTAAACACTGCAAGGCTTACTGCAGCTCCTACTGGTCATTTATGTGTAGGAACTCATGCAGAGAAACTGCGCATTCCATATAATACTCACTGTAGAAGTTGTGGAAACCCGCAGGAGAAAGAAACCATACTGCAATTTCTTAGGAAAATATTTCTTTAATAGTTTATCAGACCGTTCTTTGGTGAAGACGACAGACCTTTTAAATCACCTAAATTCGTCGCGATGGATTTAATCTGTACTATTCTATAATAGGGTTCTTGCGAGGAATGTGGTAGCAAAACGGCTAATTGAGATACATGGAAGTTATCTAATGGCCTGCCACTGCAACCAACCAACCAACATACCAACCTCTGACGTAATACTCATAAATAAATTGTATCATCTTTGTAACAAGTAAAAGTATTAATGAGTCACGTGCGAAAAGTATTTGATTTTTAGATTTTCATGCTGAGATGGTACTCCGGTAGAGTAAAATAGTATAAGTAAAGTAGAGTTAATACTCGAGTATGACTCGAGTTTTGAGTACTTATTGTAGTTCTTTGCTATACATATATGTAGCACTGAAATATCATAACATGTAAAAAAAACTTATATATTCGATCAAGTTTTTTAATCTTAATCGTAAATTATTTATTACTGTGTATGTAATTGTATATAGAAGCTTGATTAATCTGCACAGAGTACTTACACTGCTATTGTTTTCAATATTAAAAGAAGTATTTAGCTCATTCTCGGTTATTAAACTGTCTCTTTCTTCAAATTCATTCGTTAAATTTTCATTTCCGCAACCCCTTTGTTCATTTTCGTTTGTAGCAGCATTGTCGATATTGTTACAAAAACCATCAGCATTCACACTTGCAGCATCAATTGTTTCGTCTAAATTTGTTACATTGTGCACATTATTGTCATTTCCCAATGTTGAAATATGTAATGAAGTGTTCAATGGAACTAATATTAAAAAAAAAAAGATTTTAATAAAATTGAAAAAGGAATTAATAATTAAATTATTAAAAATTAAGCTAATAACTTTGCCAATAAATTACATACGTTTATAATATACACTAATAATTATTATTACTGAAATTTAAAATTAAATGTAAACCTAATGGATGCATTGGCCAGATAGTACTACAATGGTCGATTACTGGAACTATATCTATGAAATGTTTTACAATTTTTGTCTGGATCATGTTGTAATAAATCTGAACAATTCCATCTATTTGGCTGCGCTATGGTGTGTATTAAGGAAGATTGAGACAAACTACAATCTATAAGTAATGTCTGCAAGAATGAAAATCGTTGAATATAAAGCAAAGCACACAATTTTAGTCTGTTGTTAAGTTTGAAATAAAAAACTGTAGTGGTATTTACAAAAAATAGACGGAGCATCAATTATTTACTCAGCATAGATAATACAATGAACTTGGGCTAGTAAAATCGGGCTGAAAAATATGTACGACAAAAATACAAAGTCCTCCTTTAGACAAATGGGCACGAAGTCCTTAATTGAAAATTAATGGATAGGAATTAAAAGAAGTGGTGAACATTTAACCACTTAGTTATTGTAATACTATCACTTAATATATGGGAGTTTGTTCCCTGTTCCCATGTTTGCTATTCTGAATAATTTGGGAATGGGAGTTTTGTTTCCTGTTCCCAATTCTGCTATTCTGAATCGCATGGGAATGGGAATTTTTTCCCAATTTTGCATAAATTCTTTCCCAAGCAAATTGTTGGGAAGACAAGTTAAAAAAGTATTAAGAATGGTTTAATTTAATATAAAAGTAACTGAAAATGATCAGATTTTTGAATATATTTTAATAAAATTATTATTATAATAAAATTATTACAATAAATTAAATATTTTCAAAGTTTTATTTTTTTATTTTATCCACAAGAGTTGATTAGTTTTCCGAATATATTTTAATAAATTTAATATAACTACATTTTCATTTAATATATTTTATTAAAATTATTATTTTAATAAAAGTATAACAAATTTCAAATATTTAAATTTTTATTTATTTATTTTATTCACACGGGTTTTTTTCACTAATTAAAGTGTTAACTATTGTTTTTAAAACAATAGATAATGAAAGAAACCCAAATTCTGAAGTAAATGGGATTCCTAGAATAAATTAAAATAAACTTTTGCAATTATGCGCAAGTAAAACATTCCTTTTTTATTGTAACATCTGCACAATCATAAACTATTATTAGTTTATTAATTTAAGGACATTTCTATCCTAATTATAAAAATAAATACGAGTTTTGTAAACAAGCTCAAATTTTAGTTAATTTGATTTGACATTAATAATTTCAATTAATAAATAAGATATTTTACTTTGTTTTATTGTATATGAGAAAATAATAAATTATATACATATTTAAATAATATAATAAATAAACAAAATAAAAATTTTCTATTATTTACTTATAAAATATTCATTATATTTATTTCTAATAATTTGTGCAGCAGACAAATAATGCGATTCTTATATTTAAATCAACATATGATACGCAATGTTTTTCTTTGTTTTGCTTATTTTCGCACTTTTTGTCATTAAAAAGTGGCATGGTTGCCAAAATTTAACAAACCAAATTTAAAACTGTTGTTGTTCCCAAAACTGCTGTCTCCCAAGCAATAAAGAATAAGGTAGTTGTGTGTTTGGGAACAACGTGGGAATAGGGAGTTTTGTTCCCTGGGAGTATTCAAAATAGGCCTGATATAGTCATGGCAAAAACCAACTTAATCACATAAAATGTTTGAGTTTACTTTAAGCAATTCATGCATGGCAAAATCGATAGATATCACAAATTATACCTTTAAATTTAAATTTGGATAGTTTTTAATGCAAATGCTTTTAGCCAAAAATAAAAAAAATAAAAATAAAAAAAAATAAATAAATAAATATATTTTAAATTTCGTATTTTAACTTTGTAAATAAAAATGCATCGTCATTTTTTGGTGTTATTTATTAAAGAGCAAAAACAATTAAAATTAATTAATTAATTAACTAATAAAACTAATTATTTGAATTCGCAAAATAAATATTTCGCAATTTTTAATAATATTTATCAAAGTACAAAAACAAAAAACTAATAATACCAGTGCTCAGATAAGCAATCTTGATAAGACTTTACGCAGAAATATAAATTCATGAAAACACCAAAAGTGAACTTTGAAAACTGCAGAGATGGGTTATGTAACTCCAACATAAACGGTAACGAAATGGCTTTATCACCCATCAAATTGAAATGTTATTTAAGTATTCTCCTACTGTATTCCGTTTAACTAATGAACGCAAATAGAAATGCTTGAAGCTGAAGGCAACATGAGTGGAGAACTTGAAGACTTATATTCAGGGACCTAAAGTAATAAATTATTTTAAAAATTAAAAAAAAAAAAACGGCAACAAAAAGACTAAATTTATTTAAGTATATAGTTATTATTCTAACAACTTTCATCCTAAATATTATGTTATGCTTGCTTTATATATATAAACGTTTTACCATAAATTAAAATTTGAAAAAAGTAATTAAATCAATTTTATATTATATTTTTCAAAAATAATTATAAGTATCTGCCTGTTACTTTTCTTACACTATGATTTTTATTTTAAAACGCACAAATAATTATTATATTTGCCAGACTGATACGTCACTGACACTTTCAATATAATATAAGCCGAATTCCTAAATGATGTAAGACAGAAGACTCAATATATACATGTTAGCCATCTCTATACAATCATTGATCGTTAAAAAAATTATTTAGCAGCATGTTTTTAGATAATAATGTACTCGGTTTATAGTTCATAGGAATTCTTTTTCTATCTCTATACCATTTCCTACCGCAACAGGATTGATATTGGTCTAATGATGAAGAACACAGAATCGAAACAAATTGAAAAAAATAAAGTGAAATATACATGTATCTGATAATTCTTTGTATTTTTTTCATTTTTCTTTTCTTTGCTCTTCAAATATTAAACAACAAATTGATGCAAGTTGGAGTTTTTAGTTATAATCTATCCATCGACGAACAAATAGTTTCGTTCTTTGGTAAGCATTCTGCAAAAATATTTATTAAAACAAAGTTTGGTGGTAGCCACTTTTCATAAATTGTTTAGATTTATGTATGTATAGTAAATGCGTACAAAATTTATAACATCGTAAATGCCGAGCAGACAATGTCGCAACTAAAATTCAAATTTTCTGTAACTAAATGTTAAATTGATGTATATATATATTTTAATTCACCATTACCGCATTCGGTCAACGTTGCGTTTTCGCAATAGTCAAAATATCAAATAAAAACATTTTTTCAATCTTTTTAAACCCATTATAATTTATTTCTAATTGAAATCTCTGAAAAAAAAAAATAAAAAAATTACAACATATTCGCTTTATTTTATCGTTGGCCGTAAATGGGTTAAAACTAAATAGCGCTGGGAACAGTAAATTACCCCATAAATTTTAAATTAAATGTTATGTGGACTTTAAGACTAGATCAGGGATAATAAATAAGCTAGAAAAGTTTTTTTCCTTTCACTTCGACCACGTTAGCAGTTGAGACATGACATTTGTTTAAGTAGTATATATAGTGTTGTCGGCTAAGTAAATAATGCGATTAGATTTAGATTTTAAAAAAACGGGTTGGGAACTTGTCACTGCATCCTTTGAGGGTTATTGTGACATACCCAATTTAGTTCCATACGCGAGTAGCAGTTAAGATTCCTTTACAGAGATTCCGTTATAAATGAATAGGCAGTGGATAAGTACCGAAGTCTGAATCTCAGTGATAAACAATGTGTTCTGCTGTTTCCTCTTCTTCGTAACAAAATCTGCTGCTATCGTCTCTAGTAATATCTAGGTTCGATAGATGCTTTTTTACTCCGTGACAAGTCGGATGCCATTTCTGTTCAGCATTAGAAGCTCCCTAGTTCTGACTTTTGATCGATTCGGCACGAATTCTTTAGATTGTATGCAATCTAATGAACAATTGCATTATCTCAATCAGACTGAGCTGTTCTTTCCAGCCACTTATTAATTTTAGATTTGAAAAAGCTCCATGAAGGACCGCATAATGGTTGTGGCCCAATATAAAATGAGGCCGCCCTTTTTCTGGCTTGCCGTACCCAACTGATAAGCTCACCTCATACGCTCACGCTGGGACTCTCCCCAACAAATCTAATAGCACATTACTGCTCAACATCAACATGTACTACAAATAGCGTCACAGTATGCACTGCAAACTCGATAACTAACACCTTGAGTTCTACATCAACTCAGATATCCGTTTCGTCTACTCATGCCTTATCTTTACTTCCAACAACTTCGGTAAGTTTAATCGCTAATATATCAAACAATATACTGAACGAAATGTCTACTACATCAAATTGCGCTATGCTCTCGACACCTGTGCACAAAGAGCAGAACAGCCAAAAAAACTTTCAAAGTACATACTCAATCGAAGGGAAACCCAAAAGAAAACTCATTAAGCAACTCTTCAATAAAAAAAATTAAACTTCCAAAAGAAAGTCAGAAAAGAACTCGTTAAAGTCCTGAAATTCGCCGTTCCAAAAATGCTGAACAAACTAAAAAACAAGCTAAATTAGATAGTTACAGGCTAGACAATCCAAGCCGTTTCGTAAATAGATTTTCAGTACTAGAAACAGAAGAAGTTGAAGAAGTGACACAACATGCCGAAAAGCAGCCCAAACCTCCACCAATATTCGTAGATAGGGTGAATAACATAAATCCTCTCATAAATCTTTTGTCCTCACAAGTAGAAAACAATTTTGAGCTAAAAGTTTTAAACAACGAAAAAGTAAAAATCTAAGCAAAAACAACTGAGTCTTATGTTACAATAGTAACGCAACTCGAATCGAAAAAACCGAATTTTATACATACAAGCCTAAAGATTAACGAAATTTTAAAGCTATTTTGAGAAACATGCATTCGTCTGTCAACACCGAGGACATTAAAACAGCTCTGGCGGAAACAGGCCATAAAGCTCGAAACGTCTTCAATATGAAACACAGAGAATCGAAAAAACCACTTCCTCTCTTCATTGTAGAACTTGAGCTTCAACAAAATAACAAGGAGATCTACAGAATAAAGAATTTGATGCATAGTCGAGTCACGTTTGAGCCTCGTCCTAAACAAGACATTCCTCAGTGTAGTAACTGCCAAGACTATGGCCACACGAAAAGTTATTGTCGAAGACATCCGAGGTGCATCAAATGTGCAAAAAACCATTCTTCGTCTCAATGTCCAATCCAAGGAAGAAGTACTGAAATCAAATCCGTATTATGCGAAGGAAACCATCCTGCAAATTATAAAGGTTGTTTGATTTATAAGCAGCTACAAATCGCGAAATTTCCAACACTAAAACCTAAACAAACAACAACTACAAACAAAGAAACTGCCGAAGAAAAAGACAAAGTTTCTATCCCAAGGGATCCCAAAAGAAGTTATGCTAGCGTGCTAGTGAAACAATCACCTAAATCTCTTACTATTCCAAAATCTCCAGATACCATGAGCGAAGTTCTAATAGTAGTTAAGCAAATGTTAGAACAAATCAGTACATTACTGAATGTTCTTGTCACGCTGACGACTAAATTATGTCCGACAGTGAATTAAATATAGTACTCTGGAAAGCGAATGGGATGTCAACACACTCATTAGAGCTATAAGAATTTTAAAAATATCAAAAAGTAGACATCATGCTAATATACGTTTCACTTCAAAACATTATTTTAAAGTACCAGGCTATGACTTTTACCACACTATGCATCCCGATGGAACAGCTCATGGGGGAAGTGGCATTTTAGTTAAAACAAATATATTACACTTTGAAATGCAACAATACCGCACTGAAGAGATTCAAGTAACCAGCATATCAACAAAAGATTGGTGTGGCTCAATCACAATAACATCAGTATATTGTCCACCAAAACACGCAACTAAGACGGCAACATATAAAAAATTCTTTAGAACCTTAGGTAACAAATTTATTGCGGGGGGAGATTTTAATGCTAAACACGTTGAATGGGGCTCTCCGCTTTCAACACCCAAAAGACGACAGATGCGGCTATAAGAAGCGAAAACCTTTCAACTATCTCGTCTGGAGAACCAACTTATTGGCCCACGGATCCCAAAAAAATGCCAGATTTGTTAGACTTTTGTATTACTAAAGGAGTGTGACAAAACGACACGTTCTGTAAATCTAGCTTTGATCTTTCATCAGATCACTCGCCAGTATTATTACGGATAAAATCGAATATACAACTTAAAGTTCAAAAATGTTATCTGCACAACAAATTAACCAACTGGGATGCCTTTCGGCATACACTTAAGTCATTACTTGATGTAAAAATGGCGCTTAAAACAGACGAAGAAATTGCGTTTGCAACCGAACATCTTATAAGGAGTATTCAACAATCAGCCTGGAGATCCACGCCTTCAAACATGCAACAATTCGCCACACCATTATGTAGTACGACTCAAGAACTTATAAGAGCCAAAAGAGCAGCGAGAAGGCGCTGGCAACAAACCAAATCTCCGAAAGATAAAAAACTTTTTAATGTGCTGATCAAAAATCTAAAAGAACATCTGAAAACAACCAGAAATTTGGAAATACAAAGAAATCTCCAAAGACTAGACGCAACTACTTCCACCAACTACTCTCTCTGGCGAGCAATTAAGAAACAGACATCAACGCACAATGCACCAGTAAAAAACGAACTTGGGCAATGGGGCCAAACAGATACAGAAAAATGCAGTGTATTTACGGACCATCTGTCTTCAGTTTCTATTCCAAACATTAATGAAGCCCCAAATAGTATAACTGAAGAGATTAAAGAGGTATTACAGCAAACGCACCAACTGGACCTTCCAATACGAAAATTCTCCATTTTCGACATAAAATTCGAAATCAAAAAACTAAAAATAAATAAAGCACCCGGCTATGACCTAATTACTTCAAAAATATTAAAGGAGTTACCAGATGAAGCAATTGTACTGCTGCGAAACATTTTTAACTCTATTGTCACAAAAGGCTTTATCCCTCCCCAATTCAAGGTGGCTCAAATTACCATGATACTCAAACCTGGGAAAACGGCAAAAGATGTTAAGTCATATAGACCAATTAGTCTTCTACCGGTTATGTCAAAGTTGTTGGAAAATTTATTTCTTACCAGATTAATGCCCATTGTCAATAGAAGGAGACTAATTCCGGAATATCAATTTGGTTTTAGAAAAAAGCACAGTACAATAGAGCAAGTACACAGAGTGGTTAATGTTATACATACAGCATTTGACAAAAGGAAGTACTGCACAGCAGCATTTCTGGACATGTCCCAGGCATTTGATAAAGTTTGGCATAACGGCCTATTGTTTAAGCTTAAACAGATGCTCCCAACTAATTACTATATTTTCTTAAAATCTTACATCGAATCACGATATTTCTTCGTAAAACAGGGGGATGAAATATCAACTTTGCAGCCAATTCAGGCTGGAGTGCCACAAGGCAGTATCTTGGGACCTGTGTTATACTTACTCTTCACTAACGACTTGCCTACCACCGTTGGTACTGAGATTGGAACTTTTGCCGATGATACTGTGGTAATTACTTCAGACAAAAATCACCAGTTAGCATCCAACAAACTCCAGCGAGCGCTAGATAACATTTCACAGTGGCTTAAAACCTGGAGAATAAAAGCAAATGAGACTAAGTCTTCACAAATAACCTTTACAATGAGAAGGAAAAATTGCCCACCGGTACGCCTTAACGATATTTTAATCCCTCAATCTACCCAAGTGAAATATTTAGGAATACACTTTGACACAAAACTAACTTGGAAGCACCATATTTTTACCAAAAGAAAAGCACTTGGCATCAGACTGCGGGAGCTCTACTGGATACTGAACAAAAGTTCAAAGCTTTCCGTGGAAAATAAACTTCTTATCTACAAAGCGATACTCAAACCAATCTGGACATATGGCATTGAACTCTGGGGAACTGCTGCATCTTCAAATATTGAGATTATCCAACGTTTTTAATCAAAAACCCTTAGATTAATCTTAGATGCTCCTAGATATTTAACAAATGAATGTATACAACGCGATCTCAACGTTCCGGTAGTTAAGGATGTCATAAAAAGCCAAGCCAGTAAACACAAAAAACGTATGTTACATCATCCCAACCACTTTATGAGCAGAATTATAGCAGAAGGAAGAACGTTCACACGCCTCCGCAAACAAACACCATTGGAACTTAAATGTGTCCGACTTCAACAGACGGATGTACTACTGAGCTCAGTCCATTCAAGCTCAAAAAAAAAAAATTAATTTTAGATTTGAAAAAGCTCCATGAAAATGAGGCCGCCCTTTTTCTGGCTTGTTCATCTGCTTTTTCGTTTTCCTCAAATCCGCTGTGCCTTGGGATCCATATTATGTTTCTTTCAGCAAGGTCTTTGAGAAGTAGATGGCATTAACAGACTAGTTTTGAGGTCACTCGAGGTGAGCAAAGGTGATTTACGATTTACAGAAATATATATGTTTTTTCCCGTGACGGATTTCCTTTTATATTCCTTTAGATGTAGTTCAATTGCGTGTACTACGGCCAGAAAAACTAAGTTTTCTTGACTCATACTCGCAAATATTTCCTCTTTTGGTTTAACTCCGTATACTCCCGCCTCCACTCCTTTCATCGTTTTGGAGCTATTCGTGTACCTCAGATGGTATACTTCCTTCTCAGTCATTTTTGTCTGGTATTAGTACTAGGAACTTTTGATGGAAGTTGAATGTTTTTATGTTTAAGTTTATGTTTTTAAGACAAAAGTAATAAACATTTATGAGTTTTGAAATAAAAAGTAGTATGAATGAGTTATTTGTTCGTGAACAAATAAAAGGCACAGAATAATAATTATTTCTAAAAAATTAAATAAAAAGCAACTTTAATTATTTAAATTTTTTAGCATTAAAAATATTTTGTAAAAAACTCCTTAGTTAATTAATTTTTTTATGTATTTTAGGTTTTGATAAAATTTATGATTTCTCGTGTTAAAGATTTTTTGATATAGTTTTTGTATTTTTTAAAAATAAATTCTACATATGGCAAGTACCTAAATCTAAATTCAGGTTGAATTTAATCTTTTACCTTTATTGTTATTATTACAATTCCTTAACATTTTGTTTATCTAGTCTCAATTGTTTTCTTAAAACAAATCTTATTTGAATTTTGTCGTTATTCTCAAACTTTCGGAGTAACGTTAAAGCTAACTGGGTTATAACATTGTTCATATCAAAACTATTAAAAGTAGCGATGCTTTATTTGTTTTAACAATGTTGACAAGAATCACGCTTTCTGCGTATTTTAATTGTTAAAGTGGCATTTTTATAATCCGTTTCATTTATGTAAAAAATTTTTAATTACATATAAAATCAGTATTTTTCAAGTTAGAAAAGTAAATACAAGTTAGAAAAGCATATACAATTTTCTATGAAGTGTTTAATTTTAAACATATAATTCAGTTTATTTACCTTCATTTTCTTCAGTTTCTCTAGCAGCATTACTCAAAGTTGGACTGACATCAATTGTTAAAGATGTACTTTGCGGATGCATTTCATGTGGCATATTTGCTGAAGGCTGAATAAGTACTGGTATTGCACTTCGACGACTAGATAAACAGTTCACACTTGCATTTGTTTCTGATTTTTTTCTAATAGTCATTTGCTGTAGGTGTTTAATCAAATATATTTTCAAAAAGTGAGTAGTATATAAACATGCATCTGTTTGTGATTCGAGATCTAAAAGTTTCGCTTCTTCCAACCACCAATGTAAAGCTAGAACAATTTTTAAAAATAATAAGTATTATGTTTATTAAAACAATAAACAAAAATGATAAAATATTAGAGGTATTCAGGCAACTGATTAGTTGCTTAGTTGATTCAAAAACTTCATATAAAAAAAATTTAGCATTTTGATATTAATCAGTTGCTTGAACGACCCAAAATGCGTAATCTGATTAGTTTGTTATGTGTAAATGCCTTGGCAGCACTCGCATCAACAGCAAAAGTGAAACATACTTGTGTTTGCAAAGTTGTTTACACACAATTCAAACAGCTGAGAGAGACTGCTAACAAATTTCTACACTAAAGTTCATTTTAAGTTATTATTACGGCACTTGGTACTGACAGCACTATTAATCAAATTTGTACTAATCTGAGAATCACCGAAATAGTTGATTCTCTGTTCATAGTTTCATTTTTGTGTGCAAATTTTTGTTGTAATCAACTACTAAGCAACTAATCAGTTGCCTGAATACCCCTATTATAATAAATTTTGCTTTTATATTACAGCTGGAATATATACTGGAAGAGTATACTGGTAATGACTACATTGAATTAAAAAGTACACCAGACGATGAATCTAGAGGAATGCGAAAATGGAGAGCAGACATTCTAAATGCCACTCAAGAACCTTCAGTGTGAGTCTTGAAGCGACTGGTACCGACGTGGAAGTAGTGTTAACCGTAAAACCTTCAGTGTGAACGACTGGAACCGACATTAAAGTAGTGTTTAGTGTAGAACTTTCTGTGTGAACGTTGAAGCGACTGGAACCGACGTGGAACTAATGTTTGGCGCAAAACCTTCAATGGTGCGAAATTTCAAATTGCTGCAATGGTGCGAAATATTAAATAGCTTCAATGGCACGAAATTTCAAATAGCATAAAGGAATGATCAAAAGTAAAAAGTTGATAAAGGTTTAGTGAAAACTATTGTCAGTTATAGCCAGGTAAAGATCCCTTCCCTGATGCTACACCTGGCCACACTCGTCTGCAATCACCAAACGCTCGTACAGCCCACACGTCTTCCAACAGTGTTGGTAACCCGTTCCTCCATCAGCTTAAGCCAAATAGCAGTTTGAATGACTGGTAAAGTTACCCTATGCCAGCATAAGCATAGGGTTGCGTAAGATTTGTTACTTTACCAATTACATGGTGATCGTCAGCAAACGTCGAACGAATCATCATGTGTCCATACCAACAAGTCTGAGCTCCCACTGTTGTCCCTAGCAAACTCCTAACACAGTGTTGATGATTCGCCATTCATTTTTTCATCAGCAATGGCCAGATGGAAGTCCGATTGGCTGATTAAGTTACTCTTTGTCAGCATAGGTCAGACTAGAGGAGGAGAACTATCGATAGTTGGCACCATCGAAAGGGAACGATAGTTTTTTTTCCAAACCATCGATTACTATCGATAGTTTTTGAAAGTATGTTAATTTCAATACGAATGTCTGTTCAATTAAAAAAAACCATGTATTTATTTTATTTTTCAACTACAATTTAATTAATATGACACATTTCATTTAATTTTTGGATATAATAATTTACATAAATAAAATAAAACAAAAATCATAAATTTCACTCATTTTTTCGATAATGTTGCTATTTTAGTAACTAAAGATTTTTGTTTAAAAATAACATCATATTGATGTTATTTTTAGTCTAGTCCGGCGTTTTGTCCAGCTTTACTAAACTTCCGCTCGGTCTTGACTGAAGTAGCGGGTACACACAAACCGACTCTTCTATAATTATGCGGAGCAAATTGATGTGGCCCTTGACGTGGTGTAAGGGCTTAGCTACAGGCAAGCTTGCTGACTACGGGTTTCCTGCCCTCTGACTATTCATTGGACGGAAAACCTAATGTCGGTCTGGCTCGTAAGTGCACCAAACAACTACTGGTAGTCGTGTTGTCCTGCAGTTTATGTGCATGCATGTATTACTTTTGTGTGTATATGTTGTGATAGGGTATGTATGTATATGTTTACATATATATGTTCTGTATGATGTGAATGTAGAGTTAATGTAAGTGTGAAGGTGAGTGTTAAGTAAGTGTGAGAGTTTACTGTATATTAACTCAATCCGAGATAACACGTGTCCACCGAAATAATGTTTCCAGTCAGGGTAAACATACTAATCTAGCGTGCATCTCACTGATACCTGTCCGCCTCAGTGAGTAACTGTGGGCTTACCGTGTTGGAAGGGGCTATGAAACGTAAATATACCTATCCCCCGCACTCGTGTGATGTTTATGAAGAATATAAAACAATCAAATAAACTAACAGGATCTCATACTGCAACTTAACTGATCAATCAGGCGGAGTCTCATATCCGAAATACTTAACGCCAGGCTTTAACTCTTACACGGAGACTACAATAACGTAAGGAAGGCAAAGGATCTAAAAGAAACTTGGTCCAGCGCCTTCACAAGTAACTGCAACTTCAGCAGGTAAAAAACAGAAGGAAAGTCACAAGGTTGTGGGCTTCAAAGATGCTTCGGCACCTAAGGATGTCATCCCACAACCCTAGACCAGTACTCGACGAAAATCCGGGCTAGCCATCTCTTTCGGTGATGCCAGAAAATCAACAGATCTGAGTAGCACAGGTATCAAATGGTACCAGTATAAAAATAGCTCAGATAAATCTACATCATGCAAAAGCTGCATCGACACTAATCGCAAGAGCAACACTCAGGAACAACCTGAGTTTAATACTAGTCCAACAGTCCTGAATTTTCTAAAATCGGATTTGTGACTTAACCACTAAGTACACACAGATAATATAAGAGTCAAAACCTCATCAGTGCTTATTCCTTCTCAAATAAAAAATGAAATATTTGCAAACATTTCTAAATAAATGCGTTCCACTGTTCGTGTCTGGAAGCTGATAGAAATCTAAATAATAAAAGAAAAAAACGAAACAGACAATAAACTACTTAATAAACTTATGATCAAACAAGAACGAGAATTTAAAAAAAAAACCCAAAATTTTAATTTTTAATAATTTTCTTTATTATCACCTTTAAAGTACTTGCGGCTAGGGATCTCATCATGGTCCAAGTTTGTACGACCGTCTTTGAACCTTTTAAACCATTCGTATACTCGTGGTTGCGACACACACAAATCACCAAAGCCTAAACTAATCATACGATATGCGTTACACTTTGACAGAATGTGTATTTACCGATTGGATAAGCGCGGGAATTCAAAAATTAAAATTCTCATTCTTTTTTGATCACAGGGTATATCAAGATTTAATAACCCAAGAACTTGTATGTTTTTGAATAAAAATATTAACTTTCTGTGTCTTTCAGAATTTCTCTCTGGAAATATTCAGCATACAACCCAACTGGAATCCGCAGTTGAAAACCTCAGCAATGCCATTATTGATGCAAACGAAAGTAGCTACCTGATGAGGTCAATAAAATCAACCAAGCACGTACCTTGGTGGAACAATAAACTAACGGTATTGAGAATAACGGCTCCAAAGTTATTCAACCGATCTAAGCCGATCCACTGAGTGCTGCACCGAGTATAGAAACACTCCCACTTTCTATAATAAATAAATTACGAGAATAAGAAAAGAAAGCTTCAGAAAATTCTGTAACAGTGTAGAACACACTACGAAAGCAGCAAGACTCTGCAAAGTATTAGTGTGAGAGAAAACATTTTCTTCAACCAATCTGAAAAAAAGATGACAATACGTACACGGTAGATGAGGAGGGAAAGATCCAATTACTTTTCAAGACTCACTTCGCAGGATCCTCCAGCATGAAGGAACAAGAAACTGAGAATAACAATCAGGAGGTTTGCCGAACAGCAGATAAAAGAGCCTGGGCTATTGCCAAGGAAATATGTACGGCAGCTAGCATCAAATGGGCGGTGAAAACTTTTAAACTAGCGGCACTTATTCAACAGGGAATAAAATATCTGCTAATTCCGCTGACGAAGATAACTAAGACTAGCATTGCATTTGGATATAATCAAAGAACTGAACAAAGACAAAGGTAATTTTCATACCAAAAAAGGTGAAAAGGATCCACTCCATCCAATATCCTTCAGACCCATTTGCCTCACATCCTTCATGCTAAACACATTAGAAAAAGTTGTAGATAACTTTATCAGAACGACAGCACTTGTAGCTATCCCATTACATCCATGCCAACTTGCTTACAAGACGGGGAGATCCACTGAATTATGTTTGAGTTAACAAAAATGATAGGGGATAGTATAGAAAAGAGAGAAATAGCAATATGCGCATTTCTAGATATAGAAGGTTCCTTTGAAAATACTTCACATGACTCTAAAGAGATTACTAATAAACAGAGGAATAAACTCTACTCTGGCACGGTGGATTTCCAACATGATTCGGACTAGGAAGGTAGAAATGCGCACTAGTACGGGCCTAATAAGGATGAATACCACACGAGGATGTCCACAAGGTGGGGTACTATCACCACTCATGTGGAGCATACAACGAACTAGCAGTGTAAGACTATGCAGATGACATAGTCATAACAAGCAGTGGAAAATTTGAAAATATTCTAAGCACCAGAATCCAATATGGATTAGAAATCACAAGAAACTGGGGCAACAAGGTAGGACTGAATATAAACCCAGTTAAAATTACAGTTGTAACCTTTACAAAAAAATACAAATTCAAACATCTGGAACCTATCAGACTCGATGGAATTGAGGTAGAAATAAAGAAAACGGTTGTTCTTGGGCATACATCTCGACCAACAGCTCAACTGGAAACACTACATTGAGGAGGTTATGAAGAAAGCCGCTAGGTCTTTTATGACCTGTAGATCCATAGCAGGCAAACGTTTGGGCTGTACACCAAAAATACTGCGATGGGTTTATTCAGCGATCATCAGACCTATCATCTCATACGAAGCACTTATCTGGGAAAGTTTAACCAGACAACAGAATAACACTTATGCACTAATCGGGCATGCGTATATATTACGGAAATCCAACAGCATCCATGGAGGTT